TTATGTCAGTCCATCTCATTGAGGGTCTTCCTCTCTGTTGCTGACCCTGTACCTTTCTAAGCATGGTGTCTTTTCCCAAGGGCCTGGTCCCTTTTGCCACCAGGCCCTAATTATGTGAGATGAAGTTTCAGCATCCCATAACAGCCTCTGAATGCTGAAAGAGCTCCCTTGAGTCAGAGCGTCTGGACAGTGCCCTGGTTGTACTTCCTCTAAGACAGACTTGTTTGCTCTTGTGGAAGTGCGTGATTTATTCAGCACTCCTTGCCCGATTCCAATTTAGGAACATTAATTCTGGAAGCAGGAGCGGCATCCACTTCCTAAACAACTTGCCTCTGGAAACTCTATGAACTTTGATAAATGTTGATAGTTGCAGAGGGGCTTCAGGCCTTTTGTTCATAGGGTTGTTATGAGTCATGCTTGACTCAAAGGCAATCAACAATAGCAACAACAATTCTTCTTCAGTCTCCCCTATTCTTTTGGTATCATTATTCATCCAGCAATGGATAAGGGTTCCAGTCTCCCCACATACTCACCAACCTTTGTCATTTTCTACTTTTGTTTTTTTGGTCTTCTCCATCCTTGTAAGAAGGACCCCTGGTGGCATACTTTGTAATGTGCCAGGCTTCTTACATAAAGGTCAGCAGTTCGAATCCGCTGTCTCTTCCCACAGAGATTAACAGTCTCTGAATGCTGAGAGCACGTCTCTGAGTCAGATCTTACAGTAACGGTGGGAGCCTTATGAGAATGAAATGGTTTCGTGTGGTTTCGATTTGCATTTATTTGATAGCTAGTGACAGGGAACAGCTTTTCGTGTTTTGTTTACTGTATGAAAGCTGGTGAAAAGCCTTTTCAAAGTGTGTGTTCTTCTTATCATTTGGTGGGTTGTATTTATGTTGATAAGTTCTGGGACACACACGCACACGGAGTTTTTACTGACTACAGAGCTTCTGAAGATATCTAGTTGATAGCTTGTCTTTGCTCTTTTTTGTAAAGTATTTGAATAAACAGAAGTTTTAATTTTTTTATGAGGCTCCATTTATTTCTTTGTCTCTTGCTGTTATTATACTTCAAAGCTAAACCTAAGAACCTGAGTATTCTATATGCAATAGCATCTCAGTGGATGTTTATTGATTAATTGCCTGAATTACTGTCTGTATTACTGTACACTGGATGATTTGAAAGTTTCTAGACTTTAAAGAAGGAGCTCTGATGGATTAGTGGTAAGAAATTGTGTTGCCAACACAAAGGTATGTGGTTTGAATCCACCAGCTGCTCCTCTCAAGATGGGCAGTCTCCCCTGGTGTGATGGACTGTCCCTGAAAAAATGCTGGAGTGTCAGCCATGGATGGGTCTGTTCCCACTTGATAGTACACAACAACAACAGATTCTGAAAACCAAAGCATTCACTGTTGGAATGTTTATGAATTTTTAAAAAATGCTTCAGGGGAAAAATATGTTGGTTAAATGTCACCTTTTCCTTCATGTTGCAGGTGCCCAGCTGTGGAGAAGCCTCAGCGAAAGGTAGGGAATGTTCCGTCTGTGTCACGGCTAAAGAAGGGTAGGGTGGGGGCAGGTGACTGGGCCATGACTATGAGATACAATTTTAGTGATTGTTGTTGTTATGTGCCATCGAGTCGTTTCTGACTCATAGCGACCCTATGCACAACAGCCCTAAACCCTGCTCTATCCTGCGCCAACCGCACCGCCTCTGACACACCCAT